TAAACAATGATACAAACTACAGCATATAAAAATGGGAAATGAGTTCAGTGGGATGAGAGAGTACCATATTTCACCCATTAGGCGTTGCACATTGGTCTCTGTGTTTTACCATATTGAAATGTGGTCATACCAAATGCAACATGATATTGCATCTTATATTCAATGTCCTCTTATAACTGCTGGCCAGACAAAAATCATGACATGAGTGTCCTCACCAGAGCTTGTGCGCACCCAGCTGTCACCCAAGTGGCACCACAAGGTCACAACAATACCAGGAAGTTACAGCCAATAAACTACGGAAAGCCCATGTGAGGAAGAAATGTGTGTCCTGGTTGTTTTCTAAAAATCTTCGCTGACACCTTCTGGGAAGATCAAGAAAACACCAGCACTGCAACTTGCAGGAAGGATGTTAGTAGATTGGAAGAAAATCCCAGAAGAGTCAGACCCTACATGTGAAAAAGTTTTAGAAGTTTCTTAACTAATTCACTGCACTTATCTTTGTATGGATGCACGGAGGTGATATGTGATTTTTTTAATATCTATGTTTAAAAGAGCTTCTTCAATTAAAATAAAATTGAAATTCTAAGAAAACAAAGAATCCTAATTTAATGGACAGGTGTTTTTCCTTCTTGGTGGTGAATGACATAGTAATGTGTTTCATCTGATGATGGATTAGGTCAGATGAATACAGTTTTGTGAGTTCTTTTTTTTTTTTTTTTCAGATGGAGTCACCCAGGCTGGAGTGCAGACGGGGTTTCACCATGTTGGCCAGGCTGGTCTTGAACTCCTGACCTCAGGTGATCCACCTGCCTTGGCCTTCCAAAGTGCTGGGATTACAGGTGTGAGCCACTGCACCCGGTCCAGTTTTGTGAGTTCTAATAATCAAAGGAAACTTTTTGGAGAAGGGAGAATTTAAAGCAAGCCCTAGAGAAGAGTAAGATTCAAATTAGTAGACAGAAAAACTAGAGTGTAACATATGTGAAAAATTATCTTGGAGACTGGAATTCAACAGAGCCTGTATTGTGCTGCAATTTTAAGTAAAAATGATTGATTAATCTCTGAAAGGTATGTTGAGGCTGAACAGTGGGTGTCAATCTAAGGTAGTGGCCCTTGCAGGCAATTAAGGAGTTGCTGAATTAATGAAAGTCTTGTTCAGGAAGCTTACGCTGGTATTATAGCTGCATGCAGGTAGGACTGAAGTGGAGAGAGACTGAAGGCAGTCTCCCAGGCATGAAGAAATAGAGAATTCAATAAAGGGAGGTGGAAACAGTGGTCAGCCAAACCACCTAAAAATGAATAAACTCGCATATTGGGGAAAAACCCCACCCCCGATATTTATCGTGGGTTCTTTTTTATTTCCCAGGTGTCTCAGTTGGTTTGAGAAATAAAGGAAAAGAGCACGAGAGAGAAATTTAAAGCTGGATGTCCAGGGGAGACATCACATGTCGGCAGATTCCACGATGCTCCCCAAGCTGTAAAACCAGCAAGTTTTTATTAGCAATTTTCAAAAGGGGAGGGAGGGCACAAATAGGGTGTGGGTCACAGAGATCACATACTTCACAAGGTAATAAAATGTCACAAAGCA